TCTCTCTCTCTCTCTCTCTCTCTCTCTCTCTCTCTCTCTCTCTCTCTCTCTCTCTCTCTCTATATATATATATATATATATATATATATATATATATATACATATACATATATATACATATATATGTGTGTGTGTGTCTGTCTGACAGACATACAGCGATAACGAATGGAAATTTATCTGCTTCGCCTTTCTGTCTATCCATCATCTACACATCTATCTATCTTTACGTATAGAAAAAAAAGGCTGATAAATGATTTGTCGAAACGTGAGGCCTAATGTTTCCTCGTAGCTTGTTCGACTGAAAAGTTTTTCTTTTGTTTTATCGAGTAAATGATATTCCAACTCGCACGTCTACGTGGGTATCTGTGGGGAAAAACGAAGGAGAGGGATGGATATATGTATATATGTATACAAACACACACACACACACACACACACACATGCACACACACACACACACACACACACACACACACACACAGACACACACAGACACACACGCACACACACACACACACACACACACACACACACACACACACACACACACACACACACACACACACACACACACACACACACACACACACACACACACACACACATATAAATATATATATATATATATATATATATATATATATATATATATATATATATATATATATATATATATATATATATGTATGTGTGTGTGTGTGTGTATTCATATATAAGTAAGCAGAGAGAGAGAGAGACATACACACAGACAGACAGACAGAGAGTGAAGCAGTAAGAAAGAGAAGAAGAGAGAGAGAGACATAGACAGGAACACGTGTATCCTTATCTAAGCACATTATATACTTCAGACAGAAAGACAGATATATACACACATAGATAGACAAATAAACGGACAGATAGATAGACAGACACAAACAGACAGATAAAATGACAGACAGACAAATACACACACATACGCAGGCACACAAACAAACATACAAATATACAAAAAAACAAAAAAAACATGACACACACATACACACGCAGGCACACAAACAAACATAAAAATATACAAAAAAAAAAAAAAACATGACCCATACATACACACGCAGGCACACAAACAAACACACAAATATACAAAAAAACACAAACACCATGACCCACCCAGAACAAACAAGAAAACCCTTTAGCTCGCCGCCCCACTCAACCCAACTCGGCAGACGAGGACGAAGGAGGCGCCGTCGGAACCCGGGGGGGGGGGGGGGGCGTGCAACACTCGGGGCCCACGACTGACGCCCTGCAACATCGGGCTCCTGTGTTTATGTCCGGAAGCTTACGGGCAAATATTCCTTGGGGGATTTACGGCCGCTCAGGGGGGTACGGGTGGGGTAGGGGTGGTAGGGGGGAAGGATGGGGGAGGTGGGTGTGAGGTGGGGGTATGGGGCGGGGTTGGGGGGTGGGTGATGGTGGGGGGGAGGGTGAGGGAGGTGCAATCTACTTGAGGAGGGAAGTTGGGGCGATCGAGATGCTGGTGTTGTAGTTGCTGTTGTTGTTACTGGCCTTCTTTTTCTTATTCTTCGTTAGTGGAATTTATTGAGAGAGAGAGAGAGAGAGAGAGAGAGAGAGAGAGAGAGAGAGAGAGAGAGAGAGAGAGAGAGAGAGAGAGAGAGAGAGAGAGAGAGAGAGAGAGAGAGCACGTGTAGCTTGTCCAAGTACATTATACACTTCAGACTTTTCATAGAGGAAAGGAAATGCCATTTATCTGAGACGGTATTCGCACACACACACACACACACACACACACACACACACACACACACACACACACACACACACACACACACACACACACACATATGTATACATATATATAAATATATTTATTTATTTATTTATTTACACACACACAGACATACCTACATACATACCTATCTATGTACATATGCATGGTGTTCGTGTATGCGGCTGTGCATATATGTCTGTTTGTGCGTTCCTGCTGTAGAATCCAATACAAGCTTAACGGTTATAGTGTAATAGTCACTCCATACTGTTCCTTAGAGCTCTCACCACACGACTGTCCCTGTCATGCGGACCTCATAGACGACCAGGCTATGTGGGAGTAATACCTGATATGTAGAATCATTACTTTGGTTGTTAAAGCTGACGTCCCTGATCTTGCGTTCGGAATCTGCATGAGGAAAAGCAAGGTGGTGATTTACCTGCTGTGGCTTCAGTTGAGGGGAAATGATATCTGCTTAATTAGTGCATATTTTCGTACTAATTATCCCGTGGTAATGATATTTGAAGCTTTTGTTTGTTGAAAAAATGGGCAATATACTAAAGGTTATTCTAAATCACTAAGAATTCCTGACGAAATATAAACCCTTTACAGGACGCCGGGAATGGCATTTTCTAACTCCAATTTTAAGATTTTAAGATTGCTGCTATGGTATAATAACAACCCGCGACGAGGATCAAAATTACGAAATAAACTCCAAACTCCAGTCAACTAAAACCCACAAGATATTAAACCGTATCAGTAATAATATTCACGACCACAGACCAGTCTCAACCAAGATTATTTGTGTTAAAAATCAATACGAGGAATTCGAGAGGAGACTCGTCCCCTGTTTCACGCAGCGGTATTAACGAGACTAATAACTTTATGCTGATGAAAACTTTTCGAATAAGATGCTAAT